TGCACGGCAGAAATAGAGACACAGATGTAGAGAACAAACGTATGGACACCAAGGGGGGAAAGTGGCGGGGGGGGGGGGGGGGGGGGGGGGTGTTGCTGAGCCATCTGGCCACCCCACCGGCTCTGGGACCCCAGCAAGCCCCTCGTCCCCTTCCAGCCCTCGCTGTGCTGGCGTCGGTCCAGGGAGGCTGGTCCTGGCTCCCTGACCGAGAGGGTGCGGCTGACCCCACGCCTCGTGCCTGGCGGGTGCGGGTCCTGCCGGGGGCGTTGTTGGAGCCTTCGCCTCGGGCAGGCCTGGCTCCGCTGGGGGCGGGTGGCCCGGGCTCTGACGGCCAGGAGCCTTGATGCCGCTTCCTGCCTTCACGGGGCTGCAGTGGCACACGCCGCCTGGCTCGGCTCTGTGGAGGAGGCCAGGCCTTCTGCGGGCAGCAGGGCAGGCAGCGTGCTGTGCAGGACCTTTGCTCTGGCCTCGGCTGCTCTGTCACTGGTGACCCTGGATCAGGGACTCATCGCTCTGAGCCTCAGTTTCCTCATCTGGCAGACGGGCCAGTTCCTTATTGGCAAAGGTAGCCGAGAGCACTGCTCTGTGCCTGCCCCGGTTGGCTCCCTGGGATGGGAGGCGGAGCGCCAGCCTCCAAGCACAGAAGCCTGGCCGCGTCACGCCGTGGGGCAGGACCCTGGCACCGGAGGGGCTGAGGGACGCTGGGCCAGGCTCCCCATCTGGTGCTGAGGCCCTCCTGCCCTCCACTTGAGCCTTCCCTGGGCTTGTGCTGCTGGACCGTCCTGGCCCTCAGCAGGCTGTGGGACAAAGGCTTCCACACACAGGGTCAGGCCTGAGGTGGGCCGCCAGCCCCGGCCTGGGCTGGGCGGGGGACAGCGGCTCCGGGCCGCCACCTCACCTACCTCGCACGTGGCCCACGGACAGGGCTGTTGGGCCAGGTGCTCCTGTTCACATGTCCTTACGTGTGCACGCGTTCACGTATCCATCTTTGTGGTGTGCACATGTGTACACGCGTGAGTGCATGCACCAGTGTTCATGATGTGCCTACGTGTGGCATGTATGTGTGCGCAGTGTGCATTGTGTGCATGTGTGTTCTGGGGCTAGGACTGACTGTCTGACAGCTCTCCATCCTCCCAAGGGTGCCGCCGTGTCCGCTCTTTCACATAAATGCATGTACTGGACACCTTCCATGCGCTGGGCCCTGGGCTGGCCACGGCGTGTATGCCTTTCCTCATGGAGCTGACGGTCTAGTGGCACAGACTGACATTCATCAAAAAGTTGAAAACTGAAGTTGCAACAGTGGCCGGGGCCAGAAAAGAGAAGTGCCCAGTGCCATGGGAGCTGAGGATGGGATGCAGTCCTGGAGGGCTTTCCTGAGGAAGTGACATTCGAGCTGAGCTCTAAGGCATGGGTCAGAGGGAAGAGCATTCCAGACAGGGAACAGTACAACAGTACGTGCATATGTCCTGCGGTGAGAGAGGCCAAGGGCAGGTCGCGTAGGCAGAGCACAGAGGGGGAGCGCGTGTCTCAGGCCCAGCCAGGGCCGGGAGTGGGGAGAGCCTGGAGTGCCCGAGGTCGGCGACAACAGCTAAGCCCTGTGGTCAGCTCGGGTCCCCCAGCAGTCGCTTCTCCCCAGCGGCCTCTGGGCTCCCAGGCTGGTGGGGGCCGCAATAGGGAGGCCGCAGGGGAACCATTTAAACCCTCAGGAACACCTTGCGTGGGTGCAGTTTTGCTTGGGGGCATCTCAGGGGGCCCAGCGTTTAGGAAAGCAGGATCCAGGGGTCGTGGGGGCCCAGTCTGAGGGCCCTTCCTCTTCCGTGGCGGAAGCGACAGAGGAGCTGGGAGCTCCCTGCAGGGCTGGGCAGGGGCCTCGTCCCCGGGCCTGTCTCCTCTTGCGGGGGAGGGCTGCCCGTGCGGACACTCACGGGAGCCCCAAGTTCTGGTGTAAGGGGGGCTTGAGGCGCACCCGCAGTCGGGGGCCCGCGGGGTCACCAGCGGCCCTCAGGCCCCAGCACGGGCACAGGCCTGCTCCCTGGAGGGGCAGCGGGGGAGGGGGGAGCCAGCGGCCCTCCCAGCGGACCCCGAGCGCTCTGGCCCGGGGGCTGCAGTGGTGCGGCCGCTCACCGCCCTGTCCCGCAGGTTCTCGCGCTCGGATGAGCTGTCCCGGCACCGGCGCTCGCACTCGGGCGTGAAGCCCTACCAGTGCCCCGTGTGCGAGAAGAAGTTTGCGCGCAGCGACCACCTGTCAAAGCACGTCAAGGTCCACCGCTTCCCCCGCGGCAGCCGAGCGCCTCGGCCCTGACCCCGTGCGCCTCGGCCCTGGCCCCGGCCCCGTGCCCCTCGGCCCTGACCCTGGCCAGGCCGGAGCCGCCCGACCACCTGCCCCGCCCGGTACTTTGTAGCCACGAGTTATTGGCCTCCTTCAGAGGGACTTGTCCACGTTCCAGGCCACCTTCTGGAGCCCGGGGATGCGGACCCAGGCCTCCACCCGCCCCTGCCTGGGGGGGCCCGGAGGCGGCCTGGGGGCCCTCGTGCCTTCCTGCGGCCCGGCCCCTCTCCCGCTGGGCTCCCCGCCTGGGCCAGGGCTAGCACTCGATTGCTGGGGACGAAGACATGTGCAGTTTTGAAATGTCAGTTCCCGGAGGGAGCTCTGCTGGGCAGAAGGAAGTAGGCCAGGAGTCTGGGGCTGCAATGGAGTGTGAGTGTGGCCTTGTCCAAGACGCCTCCCTCGGCCTGACCCCTGGAGGGTACGGTGGGGTGGTCTGGGGTGCAGGACCTGGCCTCCGGGTGGATGTGGGATTGGGTGACGAGCCCCCTCTCGGCGAGGTGGCCGTGCATGTGCTTGAGTTAAATGTGCAGGGCAGACGGACAGATGCAGGTCTGCCCCAGGGCGATGGTACCGGTGTGGCCCAGCCCCTCATCCTGTTTCCAGACAAATCCAGACAGCAGCCTCCAGGGTCACCTTCAAGAGGAGAGGGGAGCCGCTGCATTGCGTGTGGAAGAGCTAGATAGAGCCTCCCAAAACCCTGATTTAGAAAATGCGTTCCTTATTTTGTCTAGAAATTAATATCAAATGAACTAGCTTGTTTTGAGAGGTTTATTTCACATCCTATGAATGTATGTAAATAAAATGTACATAGGTGCATCTACATAAAATCTTTTAATAACATGTCAACATTGTGTAAATTTGAAATAAAATCTATAAAGCTGGTGTACATATGTTACAATTATATATATTTTCTTTGGTCCTTCATAAAAATATATTTACTTTGCCAATAAAAAGAGGAAAGAACTTGATTGATAGCTGTGGCATCTGTGTGCTGTTTTCCTCTGCTCTGCCAGGAATGGGGGTGATTTTGGGGGCTGAGTCTCCGTGTCTGCACCTGCAGCACTCAGGGGGCCTTGGTTTGTACCCGGAGGGATACAAAGGCTGCTTGGGTGTCCAGCCCGTGGTCCAGCAGTGCAGGGTCCCCACAGCCCCACTTCCACACCATGGGCTGGGTCTCTGCTCGTTCTGGTTTCCTGGAGGGCTGTCTCTCTTCCACAGACCCACGGCCGCCCCATCCCAGCATCACTGTGGGAAGAGACTGCAGGCCAGGTCCAGCCCACAGGGCCACCGCTCCCCTGAGTTCCTGTCTGAGACCCTGGCTTGGCACTTGCCACCTTGTGTGCAGCGCATTGAGCATCTATCATGCACTTACTGTGTGCACCGTGGCAGGGGTGTGGAGCAGACCGTTTCCCCCCCTCGAGCCCCTCCAGGAGGTGGCACGTTATGTCCACTTGCGATTTCTGAACCGATTAGGAGCCTTGACCAGGCGGAGGCAGACGCTGGAGGTGGGGGGGCGCGTGGAGGGGGGAATGGCCAGTGCATGGGGTTAGGCTGCCGCCTCGATGCAGCCCAGCTGCTCCGAGCTCCGGGGAGACAAGGTTGAGGCCTGGACCCATCTGCACGCCCTGGCGGGCTGGGAGCAGGGCCAGCGGGGACCAGAGAGCAAGGAGGGGCCGAGAGCTAGCAAGGAGGGGCAGGGCAGCCGCATTGGGCACCGCAGCGAGAGGGCTGCCCAGTTCTCTGTCCACATGACATGGAGGCCGTCCTTTCCCGGGGCCTGAGGCACGACGGGCAGGGGGCTCTCAGTGACACCCTCGGACCTGGAGCAGGTGGCAAAGCTCCGTGGGTTTGCAGCGGAGAGGTGGAGTGAGGCGTGTGCGTGTGTACGTGTGCATGTCTGCACGTGTACTCTGTGCATCTCCGGAGGTGGAGGCCATCGTCCCCGCTGACCTGGGAACCTCTCGCTACAGCTGTCTTTCCTGTCGGTGGAGCTGGCAGGTGTGCCCAGCACAGCACAGGGGATCTGAGAATGGGCACCCCATCCCGACTGGCCCTGGTCCTGGGGAAAGGACTCGGCCCTGTGACCTCTGCCCTTTGACCCTGACCGGACGTACTCTCTGTGGCCAAACATGCTCTGGGGAAGCGAGGCATTGATTTCCAGGTGCATTAACGTAGAGCTTTCTTCATCCATAAAGAAGCAGTGGAGCCTAGATAAGAGGGACACGGGCCATCGGGATGGTCACACTGGAGGAGCCCGTGAGCACACAGATGTGTGGGGCTGGGCGCTGACCCAGGACACCGCTCAGCTGCTCTCGGTGTCTGTCCCCAACAGCCACCCACTCAGAGCCCGCGGCCCCCCGGCTGGCCCTCTGTCCGGGCCGAAGCCAGGCTGGCCGTGTGTGCCGGGTGGTGAAGCCATCCCCCTCTGCCTGGGCTCCAGACCCTCTTGGGCGTCTGCGCTGGCCGGGGGCGCGGAGGGAAGGGACGGCGGTGACGAGGACCACCTCTTGACCCTCGCCCACCCTCTGGGGGAGTTTCTTGAGCCTCTTGACCCCGCGGAACGGGTGTGACAGCCCCAGGTGGCAGCCTGGTGCTGACTGAACAGCCGCGAAGACCCTTTCCAGGGCGTGAGCCTGAGTCTTGGCCGGACGGAGGGCCGGGAGCCGGGCCTCAGTTGTCCTGTGCCGTGGCCCCTGGCAGCACCACAGAGTCCAGAGCGCTGTGGAGGCGCCTGGCTTGGCCACCTCTGGCAGACCCCCGCCACCACCTTTGTCACCCTTTGTGACTTGTGTAGCCGGAAGAGGAGTGTTTGTCTTGGCCTGCAGGCCCAGTGTGCCCACAACAATACGTAAGAGGAATCTGGAAGGTTGCGGAGCAGAGAGCCAGCCTCAGCAACCCGGCACCACCCAGCCCCGCATGGGGCCATCCCGCACGGCGGACAGAGGCCGGGGAGGCACATCTCCGGAGACTGTACCAGGCAGCGTGGGCTAGGCTGCTGTAACAAATAAACCCCAGCCCCGCGGAAGCTTATTTTTCTCCGTTGAAACAGCCCTGAGGCTCCCGGGTACCTTCCTCATTGCCTTCGAGCCTGGCACCCCGGGGGCCCCGCGCCTGCCCGCAAAGAGCAGTCCAGGGCTTGTGCTCCCCCCACACAGCACAGGCCTGTGCACTGATGTCCCCTCGGCCAGGATTAATCACACAGCCTCATTCGCTGCAAGGAAAGCTGGACAACATAGCCTTAATCTGGCAGGTTATGAGCACAGCTAAATTTGGGGTTTCCATGACGGGGAAAGGAGGGCAGAGGAGGGGTGCGGCTTCGGCCAGGTGCCTACCCAGCGGGTAAGTCGTGGTGGCCCCATGGCTTTGTCCACGTTCTCAGAATGGGTGTCACGGCAGGTATAGGACCAACAGTCAGGTCTCCAGAGACAGCACGGTGTCACGAGGTGAAACCCTGCAGGCGCTTTGTGTGACAAGCACAACTGCAAATGGCAGGTCCCTGCCTCATAAGGACGAAAGTAAACAAGAAACAAACCCTGTGATGTCACCATCGTCTATGCCTGGAGGGGCCCAGAGTCCATACAAGTGCCATGGGGTGGGGGGACGGAAGCAGAAAGGCCCGGGGTAGGGGCTTGCAGGGGTTGTAGCTTTCCTTATGCTCCATCGTTCAGGGTCCTGCAGGCCTGGGCGGTGGGCACAGCAGAGGAGCTGCCAGGAAGGGGCCTGCTGTCTGCTCGGCAGCCGATGGGACGGGGGCTCTGAACGGCACGTGAGGGCCCGAGGGTGGAGCAAGGTCGGGCCCTGACAAACACCAAGGCTGAAAAGATCTTGCTGTATTTGAGGTCAGGCAAAAGGGATACTGGATGCCAGGGGGCTGTTAGGAAGACACGGATGGTGGCCTAGGGAGCAGCGTTCAGAAGACAGAGACGCACACCTCGGAGGCCCACGGCGGGACCAGAAAGGCACCTGCAGGGGTTTCCTGTAGTCGTCAACGGGTGAAAAGTCCCGTGGCTCCTGGGAGGGCACGAAGAGATCCCAGGCCGAAACAGGAGAGCGCCAGGATGGGGTAGACAGAGCGATGGGAGGAATGAAGGAGCATCTCAAGGGAAGAAAAAGGGCAGCAGCAGAACCAAAACCTGCGGTAGGCGTGCTGCCCTGGAGACGAACTCACACAGACCTTCCAGAACCTGGTGGTGAGCGAAGGAGGGACATGAGGGAGACAGCTGTGGAGGGCAGAGGGCAGGGGGCCGAGAGCTGGCTGCTCCGGGTCAGAGTCTGGGTCAACTGACATAGATACCGACGCATAACATGTATAACATACGAATATGTAACATGCAGAGTACACTAATACACAACATATATAATACGCGAATGCATAACGTATGGCACACACACACATAACATAACATACTGATACCTAACACCTATAATACACTCATACATAATATATAATACTCGAATATATAACATGATATACAAATACATAACATGTAATTAACTGATACATAGCACATAATACACCAATACATATCAGGTATAATACACTAATACATAATAGGTATAATACACAAATATGTAACACATGACATACAAATATATAACATATAATGTACTGATACATAACATGTATAATAAATACCTAACATATAATACACTGATACATAACATATGTACTATACTAATATATAACACGCTAACACGCTAACGTGTAACATATGATTACAATACACTGATATATAACTAAATAATATAATGATAATTATAGCTCTGCCCACACATAAGGCAAGTGGAGAACCAAGACAATATCCCACCGGGGAGAGGGGGGCAGGAGAAAACGGCGGGTGGGTCACAGAGGGGACAGTGGAGTCCAGGCTGGGTGAGCCCACAGCCTCGCGGAACCTCAGGTACATCCCCCTGTGTGAAGGGCTGTGAGAAGATGCAGTAAGTCAGCACATTTAAAACAGCATACTCGCTGCACGACAGACAAGAGAGAGACTCAGACACCAAGGAGGGTGTCCAGCAGAGGAGCATCCAGATAAGCACTCTGGGCTGGTACTCAGCTCAGGGGGAGAGGCCCTGGGGGTCTTGCAAGAGGAGGCCCTGGTAGAAGGAGGTCTGGATGCTGAGTCCCAGGAGCCTTCCGGCCGCCCTGGGTCCTTCCCCGGCTGGCTCATCTGCTCTGACCCCAGGAGCCGCGGGCGGAGACCCAAGCCTGGCCCCGGGGCTGCTCTTCCTGCTAGTTCCTGTGTCGGTTTTGTGAACAGGCCTCGACTCTGAGCTGAGCTAATCCTGTAAAACCCAGAGCAGCCTCAGAATGGGGTGACTCTGGGAACAGTGAGGAGTGGGGTCGCCCAGCTTTGTCACAAGGTCACGTCAGAGGCCGGCGGACCAAGACGCCTCACTGGAAACATCCGACTCCAGAGAGAAAAGGCAGCACGTACTTGTGAGTCAATAACTGCAAGCGGCTTTTAAAATCTGAATGCAGACGCCAAATACTGTTACAGGAAGAGAAGCAAGTGTCTTCAGTGTATAGGTAGTCACGTTACTCCAGTCTGGCTCCGACCCAGTTAGACAAACACTGGAAGGTGTGCAATGCTTGAGGTCTCCTGTCCCCCAGAGAAGCCTCTGCCTTGAAAAAGGCAATTTAGACCACATGGTTTACTTGTTCATAGACTGTGCTCCATGGGCACAGGATTTGCTATAAACCCAGATCCTAGAATAAATATCATCACATTGAGCTATAAATTCTGGTTTCTGGGCACCACGATTCACTTACCAATTATATTTAATGGTAAATTATTTACCATTAATAAGCTTTTAGATTGTTCCCACGTGTTTGCTGAGATAAATAATGATATAAAACAGAACAGACTTTGCACACAGCTTCATACACAACTTTTAATGGTGGGCTTGCTGGGTCAAAGAGCAGGCACATAACTTTTGCCAAATCATCA